CTTTGTTTTAGAAATAACCTAAAACAAAGGTTTTAAGTAACCTAAAACAAAGATTTTAAGATTAGAAAAATATTTATTTTAGTGTAATTATTGATAGAATTATATTAAACCTATATTTTAATGTAATTTAAACCATTTATTTTAATGTTATTAATAGGATTATATTAAAACCTACCATCTTGCTAGTTATTTGCTATTTGTTCCATATGTTCTTGGTTTCTTTTTATCCATTCTTTCTGTCTGCTTTCAAATCAATTGCATATTTTTTTTCTGATTTTATTTTATCTCCACTATTGGCTTATAAGTTGTGTCTCTTCTTAAGTAAGTTTTAACGGTTGTTCTAAGCTTTTCAACATATGCTTTTAATTTATCACAGTCTACCTTAACATAATATTACAGTACTTTGTACTTAAGCTAGCAGAATTAGTTTGTGTTTGTAGAATATTCTCTGAACGATTTCAATCAACTTTATTATTTACTTTTTACATTCTTCTTCCTTTAGATTTTATCAGTGTTTTTGATTCTAGCTTCATGGGATGAATGCTTAGTGTATTTATTGTCAGTCTTAGTTTCTAATAAGTATATTTGAAGTTATAAATTCACCTACAATTTCCCTACTAGCATTCCAAAAGGTTTTTTTAAAACTTTTATTTTAAGTTCAGGGGTACAAGTGAAGGTTTGTTACATAGGTAAACTTGTGTCATGGGTGTTGCTGTACAGATTATTTCACCACCGAGGTATTAAGCCTAGTACCCATTCATTGTTTTTCCTGATCCTCTCTCTCCTCCCCTTCTCCATCCTCTGAAAGGCCCCAGTGTGTGTTGTTCCCCTCTATGTGTCCATGCTGTTCTCATCATTTAGGTTCTACTTGTAAGTGAGAACATGCAGTATTTGGTTTTCTGTTCCTGTGTTAGTTTGCTGAGGATAATGACCTACAGTTTCATCCATGTCCCTGCAAAGGACATAATCTTGTTCTTTTCTGTGGCTGCATTGTATTCCATGGTGTATATGTACCACATTTTCTTTATTCAGTCTATTATTGATGGGCATTTAGATTTATTTCATGTCTTTCCTATTGTGAATAGTGCTGAAATAAACATATGTGTGCATGTGTCTTTATAACAGAATAATTTATATTCCTTTGGGCATATACCAAGTAATGGGATTGCTGGGTCAAATGATATTTCTGTCTTTAGGTGACTGGGGAATTACCACACTGTCTTCCACAATGACTGAGCTAATTTACACTCCCACCAACAGTGTATAATTGTTCCTTTTTCTCCACAACCTCGTCAGCATCTGTTATTTTTTGACTTTTTAATAGTAGCCATTCTGACTGGTATGAGATGGTATTTCACTGTGGTTTTAATTTCCATTTCTCTAATGATCAGTGATGTTGAGCTTTTTTTAATATGATTGTTGGCCACATGTATAACTTCTTTTGAAAAACGTCTGTTCATGTCCTTTGCTGACTTTTTAATGGGTTTTTTTCTTATAAATTTGTTTAAGTTTCTTATAGATGCTGGATATTAGATCTTTGTTGGATGCATAGTTTGCAAAATTTTTCTCCCATTCTGTAGGCTGTCTTTTGGCTCTGTTGATAGTTTCTTTTGCTGTGCAGAAGCTCTTTAGTTTAATTAGATCCCATTTGTCAATTTTTGCTTTTGTTGAAATTGCTTTTGGCATCTTTGTCATGACATCTTTGCCTATGCCTATGTCCTGAATGATATTGCCTATGTTGTCTTTCAGGGTTTTTGTAGTTTTGGGTTTTACATTTAAGCCTTTAATCCATCTTGGATTAATTTTTGTATATGGTGTGAAAGGGGTCCAGTTTCAATCTCCTGCATATGGCTAGCCAGTTATCCCAGCACCACTTATTGGATAGGAAGTCCTTTCCTCATTGCTTGTTTTTGTCAGACTTGCCAAATATCAGATAGTTGTAGTGTGCAGTTTTATTTCTGGGTTCTCCATTCTGTTCCATTGGTATATGTGTCTGTTCTTGTACCAGTACTATGCTGTTTTGGTTACTGTAGCCCTGTAGTGTAGTTTGAAGTCATGTGGCATGACACTTCTAGCTTTATTCTTCTTGCTTAGGATTGACTTGGCTATTCGGGCTCTTTTTTGGTTCCATATGAATTTTAAAACAGTTTTTTCTATTTCTGTGAAGAATGTCAATGTCAATGGTAGTTTAATGGAAATAGCATTGAATCTATAAATTTCTTTGGGCAGTATGGCCTTTTTTTTTTTTTTTTTTGAGATGGAGTCTCGCTCTGTTGCCCAGGCTGGATTGCAGTGGCCGGATCTCAGCTCACTGCAAGCTCCGCCTCCCGGGTTTAGGCCATTCTCCTGCCTCAGCCTCCGGAGTAGCTGGGACTATAGGAGCCCACCACCACGCCTGGCTAGTTTTTTTTTTTTGTATTTTTTAGTAGAGACGGGGGTTTCACCATGTTAGCCAGGATGGTCTCGATCTCCTGACTTCGTGATCCGCCCGTCTCGGCTTCCCAAAGTGCTGGGATTACAGGCTTGAGCCACCGCACCCGGCCCAGTATGGCCATTTTAATGATGTTGATTCTTCCTATCCATGAGCATGGAATGTTTTTCCATTTGTTTGTGTCCTCTCTGATTTCTTTGAGCAGTGTTTTGTAGTTCTCCTTGTAGAGATCTTTCACCTCCCTAGTTAGCGTATTCTTAGGTATTTCATTTTTTTGTGTGTGACAATTGTTTATGAGAGTTCATTCGTGATTTTGTTCTCCGCTTGACTGTTGTTGGTGTAGAGGAATAGCATTCCAAAAGTTTTATGCAGTGCTTTTATTTTTTTACTCTGAATACTTATAACTATCACTATGATTTCTTGATTAACCTATGAATTGTTTAGAAGTGTATTTTCAGTCTCCAAATGTATAGTTTATTTTTTCCACTTAGTTGTTTTTCTAATTAATTTGCATAATGATAGATATTGTTATCTAAATAACAATTTTTTTGAAAATTGTTGAAAATTTACTGGTGGTTTGCCTTTTTACTTTGTAATTTCATGTATGTTTGAAAAGAAAATGCATTATTTGTTGCATGCAAAGTTATATATCTTTATCATCTATCATCTATCATCATGTATCTATATAATCAAGCTTGTTAACTATAATTAAATCTTCTATATTTTATCAATATTTTTGTCAACATGCTCTATCGATTTCTGAGAAATGTGAATGTAGTATATTAATTACATTGATGGTGTGGGGAAGGGGGAAAAACTTTTTTCTTTGGGTTCGGTGGCTGGGGCCCTCCAAATTAGACTGGCAAACCAGTATAATGTTCTGTTGTTAAATGCATTAAAAGCAGAAAAAGTTTGTTATTGCATATGCATATAGAGGCCATTATAGAAAATTAAAGACACCAAAGAAGTGATAGGACTGAGGGCTTATATACTTTTTTTTAACAAAGAATGATAAATTGTGGAAATGTGACAAGAGAAAGGAAAAGGAAGTTTGTGCTAGGAGAGGTAAACTGTGGGAAAGTGATTTGGAAATACATGGGGAAAGTAGTGGAAGACAAAGGTCATTTTAGTGAGATTTGTTTCAGCCTGATCTTGGTGTTGACTTTTTACCTTCTTCATGACTGTAAAACTCTCTCAAGAGAGGAGATATATCGTAGTCCTGGTTTCTCAAAGTTGCTGCTTTAGTCAGATAAGAAAAGCCTTGAAAGGGTTTCTATCTGTATCTGTTGGTTCTCATTTGCCTCCAACCCAAAATATTCCTTATACCGAAGTGGCATATTTTGGGGTGGCATATTCTAATTCTCTTCAGTGGCCCCAATTAAATGCCTCTGTAAAACCACGTGTTTAGCAATGTTACATTGCAGCTCCTGCTGTCAAGATGTGACATCAGTTTCCCCGCGCGTTGAGTTTGGGCTGGCCTTCTATCTTGCATTAAACGATAGAATACAGAGAAGTGATGATGTGCCCACTCTGAGCCTGGATCACAGAGGTATTGTGGGTGCTTTTGCTTTCTCTCTGGAACATCTATTATCTCATGCCAATCAGCCTTATCTGGTCTGCTCGAAGGGAAGAAACTTTGTCGAGCAGAGATAAGACATCTCAGTTGTGCCTATCTTACATTTGAATTAGCCAACTGATGAATAGGTGCTATGAACAAGAATAAATGATAATTATCTTAAGACAGTGAGTTTGGGGGTGATTTTTTTTCAATGAAGCAATAACTAACTGATATATTGCATAAAGATTTTCCACTCTAGTTATGCAGTTGTCACTTTGTCTTTATAATTCTGGCATGTTTACTTTTTATATTTTGAGACCATGACTTTAGATGCATGTAACTTTATAATTTTGATATCATCTTTGTTGTTTATATCCTTTAGCAATGTAAATGTGTATTTCACTAATGTTAAATGTGTTCCCGTTAATGCATTTAAAAGATCACCTTTTTTTCTTTTTTCTTTTCTTTTTTTTTTTTGAGACAGAGTCTCGCTCTGTCTCTCAGGTTGGAGGGCAGTGGCGCCATCTCGGCTCAAAGCAAGCTCCGCCTCCCGGGTTCACGCCATACTCCTGCCTCAGCCTCCTGAGTAGCTGGGACTACAGGCACCCGCCACCACGCCCGGCTAATCTTTTTTGTATTTTTAGTAGAGGCGGGGTTTCACCGTGTACGCCAGGATGGTCTCGATCTCCTGACCTCATGATCTACCCGCCTCGGCCTCCCAAAGTGCTGGGATTACAGGCGTGAGCCACCACGCCTGGCCAAAAAAAATCACATTTTTATTTTGAGCAGTTCTATTATAAGCATTAATATACCAGTTTCCTTTGGAATAATTTTTTGCCTGGTACACTTTTTCTCCAACCAATTATATTTAAATTCTCTGTGGTTTTTTGTTCCAATTGTGCCTCTTATATTTTGTCCACCATTTCTTTTTGTCTTTTTTTTCTTTCTCTGTTTTCTGTTGAACTGATCAAGTTCTACCTTTGTTTTTCTCTTTTATCATTTGACAATTTAGGTTTCAAGAAAAGAATATGTAATATCATGCTTTTCCACCTGCGTGTTCTGAAGCAACTGAGAGATGAATAAGAGGGTAAGGCAGATAAAAATATCAAATGCCACCTTTATTATTAACAAAGACTTGGAGAATTTGACTTTAAGTCTATTATCCCTGAGTTTGGCAGACTTACTTAGTCACTAGCAGTGGTGAGAAATTGCAGGACTCCTTAGGGAGGAGCAGAGCAGAGCAGAATCTACATTCTCTGTTGGGAAGCAGATGCCAAGAAGAGAAAGGAGATCAGAAGAGTGTGGGCTAAGTGTTCAGCCGCTTCTCCCAAACTGCCATGTAGAGAAGCCATTTTGTCTCCCTCAGGGAAGAGTGAGAAGGGGTGGCCTGAGAGCCCAGAAGTACTACTTTAATAAAAATCCCACCTAGTGGGGGCATAAGTGTTCCATGAAAATATGTCATGTATTCTATATCTATTCTTTCAGTGATTACTCCACATTTTAAATATATTGTATTAGGTTCCTGTGGTTGCTGTAACAAATGACTACAAATTTGGTCCTTTTAATCAAAGCACATTTATGCTTTTATATTCTGGATGCCAGAAATCTGAAAGCAATTTCACTGGACCAAGATTGGATGTCAGCAGGTTTGTGGTCTTTCCAGATGCTCTAGGGGGTGTAAATCTATTTCCTTTCCAGTCTCTAGAGCATCATTCCTTGCATGCCTTGGCTCGCTGTCCTTCCCTCCATCTTCAAAACCAGAAGCTTAGCATCTTGCCTCAGATGCGTAATCACATCACCCGTCTTTACTGTAATCAAATCTCCTTCTTCCTCCCTCTCATATGGATACTTGTTATTATGTTTAGGGTCCACCTAGATAATCTAGGGTAATCCCTCCATCTCAAGATCCTTAATTTAATCACAGCTGCAAAATCCTTTGCCATATAAATGTAAAATTCACAGTTTCTGGAGATTAGAACATAGATATCTCGGGGGGGGGGTCATTATTCAGTTTATCTTGCATATAAAATTGTACATTTTTAAGGTGTGCAGCATGATACTTCCATATACATATCTTGATATATCCATACATGGTGAAATGATAACAACAGTCAAGCAGACAAACATACCCATCATCTCATATAAGTATCTTTTTTCCTCCTGTGGTAAACGTATCTAAACTCCACTCTTTTGGCAAATTACTGGTATACAATACATTATTACTAACTATAGTTCTCATGTTGTGTATTAGATCTCTAGCCTTATTCATCCTACATAACTACAATTTTGTTCCTTTTGACCCACATCTTCCCATTTATTTTTAATATTTTGTCTAACAAGTTTTGTCTCTCTAACAACTTAGACTGTCTCTGTCTTCCCAGTAGACAAACCCTTAATATTAAGTGAATACAAAATAACTACTATCAATTAAGAAACATTTCCACAATCCTAATTTAAATCTATATCCACTTCTTGAATTTGATAATGTGTTTGTCAAATGATTCAGAATATTTGATAAGGTTGGCTATGTGTTTCTCTTTGCTAAACACTGGAATCATTTTATTATGTTTCATCAACTCTTATCTGGGGAATTTAATTAGAGAAATTAAAAAAAAGTGTACTAAAAAAAGTGTACTGTCACAGCAAAAATAGATACTGTATATTTGAAGACTTGCCTACAGTACCAATACAGTGCTTTTATAGTGATGGCTTTTTGAAGTAGATTCAAGTATAAATGGTTAACTGGAAAACTTGATATTTCCAGTAGTGACATTTTCTTGACAGGAAATTATTTATTTGAGATTGTTCAAGGGAATTGATGAAATCCCTAGAGAAGATGACATGTGAAGTTCAGAATGAATAATGTCCCAGCATCTATAATGATTAGAAAAGTTTTTCTCTTCCTTTTGTATTGCAGTCAGTCACAAGCAATATTTTATTCTCATGGATAAGATTTTCAAAGAAACTGCTAGAAGTCAGGTTGAGGGAACAGGATAAATTCTTTTTGGCATAAGGCTGCAGGTAACTATTCCATATTCTATGAGAAATAAGCGCACACACATATGTTTTGACAGCAGAGTAGCCTCATTTAGTTATTCTTGTCTGCCTTAGGTGATCATTTTCTAGGCTTATTTAGAGAAACTGCCCTATTTACAGATGTTGTTCCTATCTTCTTACCACTGTCTGAAATTGAGGGAAAAAAAATTTCTACTTTTACCTCTTCACACTCAGTTATGCTGGATGGACCTCCTCAGAATTTAAACTGGTCAGTGTCTTAATTCTCCACTTTGAAATAAAGTACTCAGTCATTATTGACTCCCAGCATAGATATTAGAAATACTTAGTGGTCTATGAGATTTTACTCCACACATGGGCCCAAATACCTCATTTACTGAAGTGGTTAGAATGAGGGAAATAACAGCTGAAGCTTCAATTTGTAATGGGTGGAAGAAGATGAGGAGGGACTGGGCTCAGTAGATTGATTGCTATTTGTCCCCTTGGGCGTTTTTCAGAAAACCTTTTCGTATTTATCCTTACCATGTTCCAGAGGCACAAATAAAGGATCTCTGCTTAATGGGTTCCAAGTACAGACCAATTTTCCTTGACTAGAGACTCACTGGAATGGACACAGGCACCACTTTACCCTCAGATTTTAGTTAGTCAACAATTAATAACCAGTTCATAGTTGGTTTTATATATTGTCTCAGTTGACCTTGGTGTATTAAGAAGAATTCAACCGCTACCAGCACAGAGATTGGTATGTAATAAGGGTGCTGTAAATATTTATAACATGTTATAAATAAATAAAAGTTTTTCTTTTCTAAAAAAATTAAAATTCTTTATTTAGGGTTCAAGATAGACTTTTAAGCATAAAGCCTTTTAAGCTAAAAATCAGTTAATTCTCTTAATGTTTGTTTGTCTCTGATGGCCTGTTACCATTTTAAGATCATCCTATTTGAGTTTGCATTACATTGTTTGTGTGTATGTGTTGGGGAGGGTGTTTTGACATTTTATTATTCTTTGCTCCCTATGTTTTAGAATCTTTTAAAATTATATCATTTCTTTTTTAAATATTATTTCTTCTGGAATCTTGTTTTTTAGAATTACAACCTGATATTTTGAAACTAAGGTCACTGGCCATGAATCTTTTAACTAATCCCTTCACAAACTTTCTAGTTTTAAATACCTGCTATTTAAACAGCAATCAACCAGAAAAAAAATTCCAATGAGGTCAATTATCCCTTGGCCCAAATCCCAAATTGATACATTCTTCAATTCTAATGTAGGCTTTGTCTAATCATTTAATACTTTGGCAAAAGTTTTGAAGAGTAAGAAAGTTGACATTAAGCATTTATGGGTTTTTTTGTTTGCATTTCACAAGAATTTTTGATTCGTTCTCCCTGTCATTTATCAGATCAGAAGTTGGATGTGTTTTGTTGCATAAAATACTACCCACGTATGACAGTTACATTTCCATTTCAGATGACCAGATGAAAGAGTAGTTTCCTTCAAAGCCCACAGTCATTTTGGAATGGGAATTATACCACGAGTGAAATAAGAAACTGTAAATAGGCTTTGGCACAACGATTGTACTCTCAGGCGCCAAGTTTTGTTGGCAAGAATTCTGGTAAGCAGGAGACTCTTGTAGTTCTGGCTCTTCCACTCATCTGGTATTATGACTTCTTCAGTTTAAAGTCACCTTTTCCAGAAAATGAGAACCTTGACAATGCAAGTAGCCACCCAGTCACTCTCTTTCACATCTCCTAATTTTAATTCTCTACATAGCCCTTATTGCTCATTACTGGATATTTTTCTTGTTTGTTTCTTTTGATTATCTTCGTAGAATCTAAACTTCAGGGACTTTACAAAGGAATATACTATGTCTCATTGAATCTAAGGTGACATCAATGGTGAGATGCATCATTATGTTGGGGATGTAAGACTGCAGTCACAGCTCATTGCAGCCTTGTTATCCCAAGCTCAAGCAATCCTTCCTCCTTAGCCTCCTGAGTAGCTGGGACTACAGGTGCACACTACAACACCTGCACCCAGCTAAATTTTGTATTTTTGTAGAGATGAGGTTTGGCCATGTAGCCCAGGCTGGTCTTGAACTCTTATGCTCAAGCGATCTGCTCACCTTGGTTTACCAAAGTGCCAGGATTATAGGCATGAAACACTATGCCCAGCCTCTTCAGCATTTTCAATGAAAAGTTGCCAATATATGGTATTTTCGACATGATATCATTGTTTGTGGCATCAAGAGTATTGGTGAAGCTGAATTTCTGAAAATATTACTCCATTATTGTCTTTGACATTTTCTTCCCAGATGGTGACATTCCTTCTTTTAAGTTTTGATGCTTATGGGCCATCAATGTCTGGCAGACAGCAACTGTAAGACTCACCCTAATTTGAGATGTGGAATTGTGAAAAATTGAACATCTCAAAATTGAAAAAATAAGGGTTATAGGTACTGATATGGTTTGGCTCCATGTCCCCACTTAAACCTCATGTCCAATTGTAATCCCCACATATTGAACGAGGGGCCTGGTGGGAAGTGATTGAATCATGGAGGCAGACTTTCCCCTTGCTATTCTCATGATAGTAAGTTCTCAGGAGACCTGGTTGTTTGAAAGTGGGTAGCACCTCCCCCTTCCCTCTCTTGCTCCTGTTCCACCCATGTAGGATGTGCCAGCTTCCCCTTTGCCTTCTGTCATGATTGTAAGTTTCCTGAGGCCTCCCCCAGCCATGCTTCCTGTACAACCTGTGGAACCCGGAGCCAATTAAACCTCTTTTCTTTATAAATTACCCAGTCTCAGGTAGTTCTTTTTTTTTTTTTTTTTTTTTTTTGAGATGGAGTTTCACCTTGTCGACCAGGCTGGAGTACAATGGCGTGATCTCGGCTCAGTGCAACCTCTGCCTGGCAGATTCAAGCTATTCTCCTGCCTCAGCCTCCTGAGTAGCTGGGATTACAGGCACCTGCCACCATGCCTGGCTAATTTTGTATTTTTAGTAGATACGGGATTTCACTATGTTGGCCAGGCTGGTCTCGAACTCCTGACCTCAGGTAATCCACCCTCTTCAGCCTCCCAAAGTGCTGGGATTACTGGTGTGAGCCACTGCACCTGGCCTCAGGTAGTTCTTTACAGCAATGTGAGAATGGACTAATACAGGTACTCAATAAATAAGTAATTTTCAAATACTTGAATATATGACTTTTGTCAAATCTATGTGTCCTTGGGCAAGCCAGTTTATTCCTTAAGCTATATTTTTCCCATTCAGAAAAGTAAGATGTTGGCCTAGAAGTCCTCTAAGAGCCCTTTTGGCTAAAAAAGAAAAAAAAAAGTACATGCTTTGTAAATGGCTGGAGTTCATAAATGTGAGGATGTATAATTTTAGTGAACTATTAAAAGTATTCTGTCCAGTCTGGTCTTCAAGGATTTAAATTTCCTGGTCAAACAAATGAGAATACCACCCAGCTGTTCTATTAGACAGTTGATGAGGTGACAATTGAAGGGTGAGGATTCTTGCCACACTTAGCTGACCCCTTTCTCTTTCCCTGGCTGCAGCTGGTTAGTATACAGTGCGCAGAGCACTGCCATTAGAGAGAGAGAAAAACAATGAGAGGCTTTACACATGGGAAAAAAGGTATTCTTAGCCTCAATATGGCCCAGTTCCCAGGATGTGGGGAAAAGATAACCTCTGGACTCTTTGCCAAGGTGAGGCTCCAGTCAGAGAGCAGGCCTCTGGTTGCAGCCATGGTGGACTCTCAGGCCAACCGAGGAAGAGCTGGCCTGGCAGCAGGTGACCCAATGGGCAGATGTTGAGAAACCTTGTTTGCCAACTACCATCTATCTGTGCTCAGCCACAGGGTCCTATATCTGCAAAAGTGACTGAATGGTCACTTTCTAAGTGACTATTCATAGAATTGCTCCTTTATTTTTATTTCTTTATTTTTTGAGATGGACTCTCGCCCTGTAGCCCAGGCTAGAATGCAGTGGCGTTATCTCAGCTCACTGCAACCTCCACCTACCAGGCTCAAACAAGCCTCCCACCTCTGCCTCCAGAGTAGCTGGGACTACAGACGCCTATCATCATGCTTGGCTAATTTTTGTATTTTTAGTAGAGATGGGGTTTCACCATGTTGGCCAGGTTAGTCTCAAACTGCTGACCTCAAGTGATCTGCCTGCCTTGGCCTCCCAGAGAGCTAGGATTACAGGCACAAGTAACCACCCCTGGCCAGAATTGCTCCTTTATAAAGCCTTGTGTAAATGTCAAAAAACTGGGGCAGGGGGTGGGGGCGATTCCATGATTCACCAGATAACCCATATAAATGCATACCATCTAACTAAAAATACACATTTTTAAGCCAGTTAATCTTCATGGCCTTCAATTTGCTATCCATGGACCTGTACTGTGTTTCAGAAGGCTCTATCTTGGATACAGTGACCTTCTGCACATCAGTGAAAGGACTGAAACTTGAAGAAGGAAAATTGGGATCCATGTCTACTTTGTTTCCCACATGTTATTCTGTTACCTCAAGTATCTGACTCCATTGTAATTCATTGCTTCTTGTCTGTTTCTTTCCCTAGGTTATGAGATGGTCCACAGAGAACTGAGTAAGAACAATGGTATACTTTATTAACTAAAATGATCACATCTTGCTTTATTATTTATTTGTTTTTTTTTTTAACTATCCTAGAACAGATAATGTATTGTAGTTTGTTGCCTCGGGAAAGATTTCATTCTGCTTACGTGACACAGAGAGAAGCTGGCTTAAACTTCCCTTGGATCCTTCCTATACTTGGCTTTGTGCTAAAGAGTCACACAGTTGTGGGAATCTTGCAAGCATAATTTCAATTTCTACTTTCAGATCAGAATCAAGGAAGGATTAGAAAGGAGTCCATTTCAAAATGTATAGACCACTTCAGAAATACTTATTCTATCCTACCTGTTCTGAATATATTAAATTTATTAAAAACGGCTAAGTACCCTGCCAAATTTTTTGTTAATATTATAATCAAATGTACTTAGTTATTGGTGTCTCCGCAACCACTGAAAATGCCATGCGATTATAAACAGAATATGTTTTCTCATTTGAAATGGCAAAGCCCCAGAGGTTCTAATAGCCACCCTCTTACAGATACATTATTCATTGTAAACTAGCTTTCTAGAATCCTAGATTATGGAGAACTAAGTATCTTCTATATTTTAAACCACGTGTATGTTAATGTATATAATGAGCATTTCAAATAATCTTTTTGCTTCTGGTCAACTTTTTATTTTTATTGTTTTAATAATAAAGGCGGCCGGGCATGGAGGGTCACGCCTATTATCCCAGCACTTTGGGAGGCCAAGGAGGGTGGATCAACTGAGGTCAGTAGTTCGAGACCAGCCTGGCCAATATGGCGAAACTCCATCTCTACTAAAAATACAAAAATTAGCTGGGTGTGGTGGCACACGCCTGTAATCCCAGCTACTTGGGAGGCAGAGGCATGAGAGTCGCTTGAACCTGGGAGGTGGAGGCTGCAGCGAGCCGAGATTGCCCCACTGCACTCCAGCCAGGGTGACAGAGTAAGACTCCATCTCAAAATAATAATAATAACAATAATAATAATAATAATGATATAGGCACTGAACATTTTGGAAAAAACTTAAGAAATAAGAAAAACAACAAGTTAGGGAAGTTTAACTGACAAAGCATTTAACACAATTCATTATAAGATGAATGACAAACAAGTAAAATGGAAGATGAATAAGAGATTTATTTAGTGCATCAACTGTTAAAATGCAGGTCTTTATGGCTTATGCTTCTGTATAGATGCTAGGCCCCAAAGGGAGGTCTATTTCCCAATTAAAAACATGAAAAACACCACTCATCAACTGCAGGGAATACTTTTGAGATTAGATGCTAGGCATTGCACAAATGGAAGCTTTCCAAAAGACAACATACAGAATGACATGTTGGGAGGGGGTTCAGGAGGTCACCCAGATCAGTCATCCTTTGTTACAATTTTTAGGGAAGGATATTCCAAAACCGGTCTGATGTTTACATGCCCAAAGACCATGAGAAATCTTAAAATTTTGTCACACAATGACTATAGAGAAAAGTTTTTAAAAAGTCCACAACAAAGTAGATACAATTGTATAGAAACATCTAGATCATAGAGCTCCCCAGATCAAGCCCCCTCTGTTAACCCCACCACCCCGTGTTTTCTCATTATGTTTAGACTGAAATTAAAATCCTGCAAGATCCTGTATGAATTAGCGCCTGACTCCTCTGACATCAGAGTCTTCCACTTTCTCCCAGGGTCCCAGTTTCCTCTGTTTCAAATACTGTGCGGTAGCAATAATGTATCTCTTGTTCATCACTGCACATCTACAAAATATCTTCACAGCAACACCTACATTGGTATTTGATTGGATATACCTCATGTTTTAACTGTTTGATAAATATTTCTACAAATTTACAAAAGATTAAAAAGTTATATATATATTTGAGTGGATATATATGTATATAATTATTGTAATAGTGATGTTTTATGTGCTTCAAAGTTCCTTTATATGTTTTTTTCCCCTTTCAGTTCTATCTTGTTTCCTAGTTTCTTGAAACTCCCACATTCTCGATATTAGATTACTAGAACACTAGCAGCGGATAGAAGTCATTGACAAAATAGATGAATCACTCAATGTGGCTTGGTACTGGCACTGAAAAAATAGATTGACACAGCAATAGAAGGGAAGAATGTGTTTATTGCTGTCAGAAAATACCTGGAAATATCAGTTTCTCCAGTCAGAGAAGTCAGACTCCAAGTGAGTATTTCAGCACAGTCTTTCTGGAAGCAAGGTAATACAAGCATACAGATGCAAAATGGAATGACTCAGCAACCAAGATTCAATCAGCCTAAGGCATAGAAGCAGCATTTAGGGGGAACTGTGAATGACAGACACCAGCTCCAAATCAGAGCAAAATGATATGTCCTTAGACTGAAAAGTTTCTTGTCTTTTTTTTTTTTTTTTTTTTTTGAGACAGAGTCTTGCTCTGTCTCTCAGGCTGGAGTGCAGTGGCACCATCTCCGCTCACTGCAAGCTCCGTTGCCTCCCGGGTTCACGCCATTCTCCTGCCTCAGCCTCACGAGTAGCTGGGACTACAGGCGTCCGCCACCACACCCGGCTAATTTTTTTGTATTTTTAGTAGAGACAGGGTTTCACCGTGTTCGCCAGGATGGTCTCGATCTCCTGACCTCGTGATCTGCCCGCCTTGGCCTCCCAAAGTGCTGGGATTACAGACATGAGCCACCACACCGGGCCAGTTTCTTGTCTTTTTAAGCTTCATTTGAGCCAAGGTAGTGATAGCACTTTCCATCATGGCACCACCTAAGGAGAGCAGAAACTCTGGGCTAATGTGCCATGGACAGGAAGGATAGTCAACATGTGCATTCAAATTCTGTTCACGCTTCTGCTTTGAACCAAAGTCATTTTCTAGGTTGAGTGAAAACGACCTTACCTGACTCGTCCTAGCTCTGATTCCAGCAAATGCCACAAGCCGAGTATTCTCCACCCAGGCTGAGCTCACTCACTCAGCTCTGAGCATTCTCTCCCCAACTTGTGATATAACAAAACACAGAGAGTGCCTATAGGCATTTTACATATCTCTGAGGTTTAGGTGTGAAATGCAACGGTTTGGTTTCAAAGCCCAGATGACTGTTTGCAGAGTGTGACGGAACTGTGAGCAGCTGGAGGGTGATACATCCTTCTCCCCACCAAATTTCTATCAGCAAGCATTTAAAGGAGATACTGGCCTAGCTCACAACGGACTAACCTCCCATGATTTATTGTGCAGCAGACCGTTTTCTCCAAAATTGACAACACGATATTTTCAGCCCCACATAGTTTTCAAGAATCTCACCTTTGCCTACCAAGAAATGGACTAGGGCTCTTCCACTTGAAACTGAAAATAGAACGGAAAATAAAGGAAAGAAATGTTGCACAACTTCTGAGGCTAGGTCCTAGAAGATGATAGAGTCAGTTTCTCTCTCTCTCTCTCTCTCTCTTTCTCTCTCTCTCTCTCTTTCTCCACATTCACCTTGGAAAGCTATCCATCATGTTTTCAAGAAGCTCAAGCTGGCTTGTGTGAAGAGAACACACAAAGCAGCCGTCAGCTCCAGCCACAGTCTCAGCACACAGCAGCCTTGCTGCCAGACATGAGAGAGTGAATTCAGCTGAATCCAGCCCTCAGTCGGCTATGCAGCTATTGGGAACTAATACAGATTTCATGCTTTTTGCTCATTAACTTTCATTCTGGCAGGTTGCCATAGCCAAATTCTACAGAGTTTGCTTTGGGCTTTTGCCTGTGTCATGCACTCCGCTGGAGATGCTCTTTTCCTTTTCTTCTAAGCAAATACAAATTCTTCATTTTTACTTCTTAACAGAACTCGCAAATCTCTTCTGTAAGGACTGGTGCTGTTCTCTATATTCTGCATATCCCTACACACAGTGAACTCTTTTATATTGGACTTATTTGCATTCATGTGTGTTTTGTTTTTCTTTCTCTTTGCTTTCTCCCACAGGGCCACGTCTTAAATTTTTAATTAGACTGCTAATGACTGGAATTTATAGGAGGGGTAGTGTGGAGGTTGTGGGGTAAGTATTTGGTTCAAGGCCCAGCCTGCTCAGGTCCTTGTACTGGTTCTACCACTTTACTGGCAGCATGCCTGGAAACAAGCTACTTCGAAGATACTTCATGTCTCTAAGGGTCAGGGTTCTATCAGAGAAACAGAAAGGTAGGATATGTATGTGTAGTCCAAAATCTGCAGGACAGCCTGACAGGCCTGTAATGCAACCCACAGGCAGAATGTCTTCTTCCTCAGGAAAATCTCAACTGATTGGATAAAGTCTACTCACATTACGGAGAATAATTTTTTAACATCAACTGATTACAGATGTTTAAGCACATCTACAAAATACCTTCTTAGCAACACCTAGACTAGCATTTGATTGAATAGCTGGGTACTATAGCCTAGCTTAGCTGACTCATAAAACTCATAAAAGTCCATCACAGTATCTCTGTGACTAAATTTCTTCATTTGTAAAATGGGACAATTATAGTACAGGGTGACTATCCCTTACCTGAAATGCTTGGGACCAGATGTGTTTCAGATTTTGGATTATTTTTGGATTTTGAGATATTTACATACACATTATGAGATATTTTGGGGATGGAACCCAAGTCTAAACATGAAATTCATGTATGTTTCATATACACCTTATAGGTACAGGCTGAAGATAATTTTATGCAATATTTAAAAATAATTTTGTGCACAAAAACAAAGTTTTATTTTTATTTTTTAATTTTTATTCTTTGTTTTTCAGACAGGGTCTCAGTGTGCCATCCAGGCTGGAGTTGCAGTGGTGCGATCATGGCTCACTGCAGCCTCAACTTCCCTAGCTCCAGCAATCCTCTCACCTCAGTCTCCTGAGTTTGGGACTACAGGCATGCGCCACCATGCCTCACCAATTTTATTGTGTTTTTGGTAGAGACAGGATTTTGCCATGTTGTCCAGACTGGTCTCAAGCTCCTGAGCTCGAGCAGTCCACCCACCTCAGCCTCCCAAAGTGCTGGGATTACAGGTATGAACTACCATGCCCGGTCAAAACACAGTTTTGTTTTGACCCATCACATGAAGTCAGGTGTAGAATTTTTCACTTGTGGTGTCATGTCAGTTTTCAGAAAGTTTCCGATTTTAGAGCATTTCAGATTTTGGGTTTTCAGATTAGGAATGCTCAACCTGTAACACTTCATAAAGTGTCCTAGCCATATATGACAGTGACTGCCACATATTAAGTGCTATGTAAGTGTTGGTTATTACTATTACTTCTTTGTATGAATAGTTAGTATGCTAAAATACTTGCAGTTTTCCTGATTAAGTCTTATAGTACTATTTCTTTAAAGAATGCTACTTTTGTTTTGCTGTAAGAATCTTGACAGACGAGTGTATAGAATTAACCCAACCCTGGTTTCCAAAAGTCATAACACATTTTTCTTTTATGACATATGTTTACAAGAACTTTTTACAGAAAGACTTCTTGAGAGCAGCTGAACCTGCATTGCCATAATAAGAGGATTAGCCATAAAGGATATAAAGAGATGTATGTTTCTAGCCACTCCTCATTAAGGAGCTGTTCGTAACCCTTGATCAATGAGCAAGGAAACTGGTTCTGCTCTGGTCTAGATTTTTCTTCCAATTTTAGGTTTCCTCTCAGGGGTCCCACAGAATATTGAGATGGCTCCCTCTTGAATCCAAAAGCCTTATTACCAAGCCCTAATCTTTATTAATGTAAATATTTAAGTACAAAT